TTACTATAATGCTCTGTTTTTCCCTGAAGCTTAAATTTACAATTCTTATTACACCACATCTTGACAGTCAATCCTTGGTCCCCAGGTAATAATCATTTGTCTCTTCACCCACCCCGGGCCCTAAAGGGCTTAGATCTTCAGCCACATTTTCTGTAGTAGTGAGAACCATTTTATTTATTGAGGTATGCTATACAGGGAAATGGCAGAAGCTTTTAAATAGTATTTGTACATTAAGTGAATTGTTACTTCTATGAACTCAGTCAATAAATATATTTTTAAGTAATGTTTAAAAAACACTCAAAGAGGCCTTTATGCATTTAACAAAACACCGACCAAATTCTAGATGTTTATTTTGGTAAAATAAAAAAAATCACACAATTTTATATGTAACTTTAAACAAAATTACTCTGGAGGGGCTCTAGTTTCAAGAGTGACTTTGTCTAATTGGAGAGAAGATTGTGTCTCTTGCAGGTTGCTATTATGCAATCGTAGTATACCATCGTTGCTGCGTATTATAAACAGAAAGGCAGAGCCATTGCTCTTATTCTGTATTTAATGCATGTCTTGGATTGCCCAAGCTGACCAGAATGGGTCAGATGGGCAGATCGTGTAGACATTCCCCTTGATACGAATGGGCCCCTGGAAAGTGTCTTTATGATTTGAAATGTTCTCGGAAACCCCGGTGGGAAATTGAAAAACACAACAGTCATCATCTCAGGAGCTGTATCTTCTTTTTCTGCAGTAATAGAAGGATAAGACTGATGCAGAGAAAAGCGTTGTTGTCTTTTTTATCACAAGAAACTAGAAAGACTCAGAGTTTCTAAAATCCCATTTGAAGAAAACATATTTAAGGGAAAAATGAGTGGAAGGTATGTTTCGGCACGTAAAAGAAGACAGTCATAGAAAAGAAATGAGCACATGCTTCATCAGTAACTTTGTGATGATCCTGAAGGTGGAAAAGCAATTCCTGACCCCAACTGAACGTCTTTGGTTGAGGGCTTTCCTATTAGTCTCCGAATAAGCTTTATTGCCCTTACCGGGCACCATCTTCCCACGGCTAAAACTAGAGGAAAGTGAAATGAAATTGATTTTGAAGACCCAACCACTGTATTTCCCACCATGCTGTTTGATTTTGTTCCCCTCAAGTTTTCTTTCTCCTTTTCTAATCCAACCTAGATAATCCTAGATACTTCTTATTTTTATTTCATAATCCTGAAAGGAGGGAGTGAGGTAGGATTTCAACTCCACTCAACTCTAGTGATTGATTTACTGGTTATCCAAAATAATCTTTGGAGATACACAAGAAAATATATACATCCTCTCTACACATATATATGCAAGCTTTTTACTGCAACTCACATTTTCGTATAATTGATATAAACTGGCTAATTATGTAGCCGTAGTATTTTTGTTTATTCTACAACACGAACTTCATGAGCACATAACTTTTTAATAGCGTGCTCCATTATTATTATAGATATTACAAATGAAAATTTAGTTTGGAAGTAGGAAATGTACCTTCAAAAATGAATAAAATCTCATATTGTTAAAGAAATATAATCATTCATGACAGCCAGTGGTTCATATACTGATATTCTGTGGATTTTTCTTTGGCAGGGTTTTAGGAAGTTGGCAGGGGAGGACAAATGTACTCTCTGATCACATAACTTTAGGTTACACTGGATTAAACAATGAAAAACCAACAGGTTTCTTTACTGTAGGATTTCTCTGAACCTTTAATCCCTAATGAGCAGTGTGAAATGCCAAGAGGTAGTAAGAGTATGTAGTACTTGCCAGCATTATTCGACCAGATATTTATTAATGACCCCGCAGAAAAGTGCCCTGTGGAATACTAGTTTTGAAAGACTGATGTCAGTTGAAGTTCTTATCCATATATAAAATCTGTGCGCCTTTGTGTAAACCTTCTTTATTGGGTATTATGTATCTTTGCTTTTAATGCATGCTTAATAAGGACTGGAGAAAGAGAAGTAGTAAAAAACATATCTTGGTCTTAAAAATTACAGTTAACTCAATGTTCATGATATTCTTGATTTGCTCTTTTAATTTTTCGTTTTAAATTATTTTAATGCTATGTAAATAGCAGCAGTAATTCTCGCCTGGAAATGAACACTCAGTCATACATGTGAACACTTGCTTGAGGAAAGGATACATTTTCTTTTGAGGATGTGAAATTCAGTCCTATGAACAAGACTGTAAATGTACAATAGGGTTTCCTTATGATATCTATATCTATATTTTTTTTTTCTGAAGCTTAGAGAAAGCTCAGTGAGGGTAAATCCCAGGTAGATCTTAGATTCCATAGAAACATTATTCAAATAGCAATTCAAGATAGCTTATGAAGTACTAGTTGAATGCAATACTGTTTTTGTGTTTAGATGATGGCTCCTATGGGTTGTGATTCTAGTCATTAAATTCTATGATTAACATTCTAGATTATAAAAATGTGTGGTCTGTGGGTGTGACCTTCATGACTTTCTCCAGCTATAAGTTTTGTGTCTTTTCATCTGTCTTGCATTCCATCACTATACCAGTCTTCATCAGGAGTGATGTGCTTGACTTCCTGCTTCCAATCTTCTGATCTTTGCTGTGGATGGGAAGAAAGTGGAAAACTTTAACAATCCCTTAAAAGTGACTCTGATGAGGCATTTCCAGCTATCTTCCCATTGAAAAACCTACTCTGAAGCTCAGGCACTTCATTTTGTCTTGATTCCCATTGAGAACTCTGTTTTCAAGTAAAATTTCATTATTAACAACACTAATAATGATAATAATGAAGAGGATGACAAATATGACGTGTCAGACATCATACTATGTGATTAATGTATAACTAGGACAGAGAAGGACTCCTGGTACTGCAGTGGTTAAGCGCTCAGCTGCAAACTGGAAGGTTGGTGGTTCGAATTCACCAGCCGCTCCACAAGAGAAAGATGTGCAGTCTGCTTTTGTAAAGATTTACAGCCTTGGAAACCCTATGGGGCTGTTCTACTCTGGCCTGCAAGGGTTGCTATAGGGTCTCTATGAGTCGGAATCTACTCTACAGCAACGGGTTTTCGTTGTTTTCTTTTTATTATGACTGAGCAGCTTTCATTTTTAGTATTAGAATAAATTCAATTCTTTGAAAATTAATCCTTTGAAAATATACCGAAGGTGCGGGATATGATTTTTTTTAACCTTTTAAAATGCATCACTGATCCTGCAAGAAAATGAGGAATTCTTAGAGCCTGAAAAAGATGGGAAATTTGAAATGCAGAGAGCTAATGAACCGCAGAAGTTGGCTTTGCCCTGAGGGCATTTGCTCATCCCTGGTGACATTAAGCTTCCATTTTGAGAATCCCACTGGGCTCAAAAAGTAGGAAGCCAAGTCTAAGGTCTTTCCAATGTTGAAAAGATAATAGGAGATCCTCATATATAAGGGAGAATAAAAAATAAATAATATAAACTTAAACCACAGGATGAACAGGTCAGCAAAAATATTTGAAGATCTCTGGTTGGAGAGTTATATGAAATTGATGGAAATTTATGCAAATAAAGATATTTCTGGACAAAACTTGAGTTTACCACCACAGGACTTGTACTGGTTAGCTACTGCTGCCTATTTGATGAAACTTTAGGTGCATCTATTATTATATGTTTTACATATGATAAGAAGCTCTGGTGGCAAAATGGTTAAGTGCTTGGGTGCTATATGTTGGTGGATGGAACTCGCCAAGAGGCTCCACAGGAGAAAGCCCTGGTGATCGGCTTCCGTAAAGATTACAGCCTAGGAAACCCCGTAGGACAGTTCTACGCTGTAACCTATGGGGTCACCATGAGTCATAACCGATTTAATGGCACCCAACAACATTTGGCTGCAAGGACCTACCGTTGCAGGGCTCTACCTGGTCTCCAAAACCTCTCATCCCGCCTGTAATGCAAATTCCAATCTTTATTAAACTGATTTGAAATTCCTAACGCTAAAATCGGGAACCCTGGTGGTTCAATGGTTAAGCACTTGGCGGCTAACTGAAGGGATGGCAGTCTGTTTCCATAAGGATTACAACCTTGGAGACCCTATGGGGCAGTTCTGCTCTGACCCATAGGTCACTGTCAGTCAGAATCCACTGGACAGCAATGGCTTAACACTAAAATCACTGCTATCATTTGACAACAAAGGCAGGTGCATGCTTTTCAGAGCTTCCGCTAAAATAAGGGTGATTGTATAATTTATTACCCAAATTAGAGCACTTCTGAAGGTGAAAGAGGGTTATTAAATAATTTTGCCAAGACCATAAGCCCTATGGTATCTATGACTAAAATGGACCAGTGGTCCCCTCTAGCCCACTCCCATTTTACAGAGGCGTAACTAAGGGACGGCAGGTAGGGCGCGTGCCCTGGGTGCCACCTGAAGAGGGCGCTAATGAGCGTTTTCTATCAGCCATCAGTTTCCATCGCCAGTGGTGCGAGGTCATTCAGCAATTTAACACTAATTGCTCTAGGTGCTATTTTCCATAAATAGGCCCCTGATGGAAGAACATCAAGAAAGGTTATTTGGTCAGGTTAGCTGTTTTCACTTTGAAGGCACAGACCTTAAGGAAATTCTTCCTGTTCTGTTTTACGCCAGGTTTGTCAGGATTCACATTCTTTAAATCATTTACATTGTGGTAGGTGTGTTCATTGAAAACACTGTTACTGAGGAAATGAGAAGAGAATGTGTGTGGGCAGTCTGTGTACTAAATAGGGCACTATAAAACTCCTTGATATATTCCACAATTGTTTGCCTTTTTGAAAAAGCTTTTGCTACAATTTGTTCAAAGTAAGTATTAGAAAGGTGCATGTTAGTGAATGTATCCTCAGGAAAAAATAAATTTATTATGTTCATCTATAGACGACGATGCATTATGCAAATGAATAGTGTTTCAACCCAAAAGAGTAACTATACTCGCATGAGTGTAGAAACCATATTTCCGATTGATTGATCTGCTATCGTCTTTTCTTTGTAGCAACGATTGCGTCCACCTGCAACGATCCAGGTATGCCTCAGAACGGCACCCGTTATGGAGACAGTAGAGAACCTGGGGACACCATCACATTCCAGTGTGACCCCGGGTACCAGCTCCAAGGGCAAGCTAAAATCACCTGTGTGCAGTTAAATAACCGATTCTTTTGGCAACCAGATCCTCCTACGTGCATAGGTATGTGTAACAGAAAATAGAAATTTTATATTTGGCAATGAATGCATGTTAGCATTAAAATTGCTCCTGTAAATGTATTATTTCTTTGGAAATTCTTCTTAAGAGTTTCTTACACTCCCTCTGGTTCTCTGAGGCTGTATTTGAAATTTTACTTTACTGCTTTAAACTTGATTTTATTAGGTGAAATAACGTAGTTGACTTAATGTAACAGTTACCGGTATATATCTAACAGTTCCCGTCCTTAACAAATCTTGTACAAATATGGATCAGTTAAATTAGTCTAATTGAAAATTCTGGGTGGCTGAAAATGCATACCCTTACCATTGCTGTTTTCATTTTTAATATAGAAACATGCCCTTAAGCAAAACCTACTCGCTAAAAAGTACTTTCTCTTTTTAGATGGTTTTTCTATAATATCAGTATTATTTTAAATAGAATTCTGAAAACAAAATTATACTGCTTATGTCAAAATGAAGATAATTTAAGTCTGAAATTCTTTAGAATATTATAGTTTGAACTTATTAAACAGATAATGATTGCTTTTGCAAACTGTAGTTTGAGTAACTATCCAAGATAATTTTATCACACATATGGTTTTAGAATAACAAGTATTTTTTATATAAAAATAGAAATTGCACGTAGATTGTCTTTTCATTCGATTAAGTATTTCACCATAAAATCACTGCTTAGAGTATTTCATCTTAATTTAAAAAAATTTTTGCTAAGTTTGTTGTTTTAATAAACTATCAAAGTTTAATTTTTACTTCTTTATAATCTGTGTTAAAATGCAAAATTTAATTAATCTGTAAAGAGAGAAAGTGATAATGAAATGGCATGCATATAGTTAGTGGACCATTTTGCATAGGGTGACCTTGAAGGGATTTTGTGATTGAAGATGATTTTGACTGTCATATACACAGTGGTGGCGAAGCTCTCATGGGTCCTGAAGAGCTATGCTGCACAGCTTTTAACTTCTTACAAAGTACTTATCATTGTATTCTGAAAATAGATGAGATTTGATAGCTCAGCTTATTAGCATTCTCCACCTTGTCAGAAAGTTATTCATGTTTATTTAATGTTTTGTGCTGTATTTACATTTTATAACTTTGAGGAGCATAGTCATGCGTTTTATTTCAAGCTGAGTCATCAAGCTGAGATTTGCAAGATTTTTGTTTCTTTTTAAAGTAGAGTAATTGCCTATAAATGCAACCATCATTTTAAACCATTGGCCTGTGTTTAAGTTAGGAAAGGCTGTTATTTTATTTTACTTTATCTATTATGCATTCTTTTAAACCCGCGGGGGAAAACCTTAAAAAGCAATGCAACTCCTACAAGTTAATCTCTTAAAGACAACTGCTGACTTGACATTCATTTAAAAACGTACCTATTAAATTTGACAGTCTTCCCAGCTAACCTACAGCCTTTTGCTAGTTCATTTCTTAGTTACCTAATTTCGACCAGCAACTCAATAGTCTGATCCTCAGCAAAGTAAATAGATAGCATTCATCTGTCTTGAATATCAACTCCAAGGACAAGCTAAAATCACTTGTAGGCAATTGAATAGTTTATTCTTTTGGCAACCTGACCCGCCAACATACATAGGTAAGCGATAGAAAATGGAAAAATACATGTATTTGGAAATAAATGAACATTATCTTGTCATTAAATTGTAAATACACCATTTTTTTTCAGAACTGAGCCTCATGCTCTCTATAAGAAACTTTCGCAGTTAAAAACTAGGTATATGTAAACCGGAAATGAGCCCACCATTATCCATTATTTTACTGGAGACCCCCCCCCCCCCGCCCCTTTTAAATGTAAAAACAAAAACAAAACAAAAAGAAAGAAAGAAAGCAAAAGAAAAGAAAAAAACACAAACCCTTTCTGTCCAGGCACTTTAGACTCGTGGTCATCCAATGTGTAACAAAGCAGCACTGGTCTATAGGGTTTTTTTGATCGATAGTTTGAACTCATTCAGCAGCTCCATAGAAGAAAGGCCTGGTGAACTGCTTCCTTAAAGAATACAGCGAAGAAAATCTATGGAGCAGTTCTACTCTGGAACACATAGGGTAGCTATGAATCGGGAGCCAAGACAACTAACAACACCATCAAAAAAGCTTTATGAAAGCAGATGCTAGCTTTGTCCTGTGACGCGCCTGGGTGGGTCCAAACAGCTAATCTTTAGGTTAGCAGCTGACTTCAGCGTGCTTCCACCATGCAAGGACCTTTTAAATATAAAGATGTTTGAACGCAGGCAAACTGAGTAGAGTTTAGTTGTGCTTGTCTTAACGCTCACCTGAGTGCTGGTACCTTGACCCATGATACACTTTTTATTTTGTAATAATTTTTTCCCTCATTAAAAATAAAACATGTTCTGGGGTCTTGGAAGCCTGTGAGTGGCCATCTGGGATGCTCCACTGGTCTCATCCCTTCGGGAGGAGGGGAGAATGAAGAGAGCAGGATGCAAGGAAGGGATTAGTCGGAAGGACTGGTTGTCCACAGCTGCCAGGGCCTCCACTGGACTGAGTCCAGTGCAGCTGGATGGTGCCCGGCTGCCACCGCTGACTGCTGTGACTGGGCTCACGGCAGAGGGTTCTGGACGGAGCTGGGGAAGGATGTAGAACATAATTCTAACTCATAAAAGAAAGACCCGATTTGCTGGCCTAAAGAAGACTGGAGAAGCCCGGAGAGTGTGGCCCCCAGACACCCTTTTAGCTCAGTGGTGAAGTTAACTCCGTGGTTCACCGTTCAGCTGGGAGTGGACAGCCCCGTAAAATCAAATGAGACTAACAAGGTACAGTAGTCCGGTGACGGGGGCCAGAGGGCGGGGGGGACGAGGAAGCTGGTGATGGGGAACCCAAGGTGGAGTAAGGATATTGTTGATGTGTTGTGAGATTGTTAACCGTTGTCATAGGGCAACATTTGTACTAACTGTTAAATGAGAAACTGTTTTGTTCTGTAGACCTTCATCTTGAGTGAGAGTTGCAGCACAACTGGAAGAGCGTGGTCAATGTCACTGAACTGTGCATGTAGACATTTTTGAAATGGTGTATCTTTGGCTATGTGTATTTTCACCAAAAAAGAAGGGTTGAGAAGTTAGAGGGTTGACATGTTGTGGGGTTGTTGACCAATGTCATAAAACAATATGTGTGCTACTGTTTCATGAGAAACTATTTGTTCTGTGGGCCTTCACGTGAAGTACAATTAAAAAAAAAATAAAACATGTTTACTGCAGAACTTTTATAAGCTGTAAAACAAAACAAGCCAAATCCATTGCCATCAAGTTGATTCCAACTTATAGCAACCCTATAGATGAGCAAAAAGAGAAAAGAAGTTGTCATCTGTTTACCTGGGGACAATTTCTATTAACATAAACATTCATAAATAAACTTCATAATTATTTTACGTATATGTTATCTGGAGCCCTGGTGGCGCGGTGGTTAAGTGGTTGGCTGCTAACCAAAAGGTCAGCAGTTCAAGTCCACCAGCCACTTCTTGGAAATTCTATGGGGCAGTTCTGTTCTGTTCTACAGGGTCACTATGAGTCGGAATTGACTCGATGACGAGTTTGGTTTCTGGTTTTTATATGTAATCTATGTTTAAAGTATTTTTAAATAGCAGCATCCTATATTATTATTTTATAAAATGTACATTTTACGTACCAATACATGGCGATTGCTTTATTATTTTGGTGCCGTTATGTATTTTGTACTAATTAGTTTCTCATGACTGCATACCATCTCTTTGTATATAGCAGTATTGGCGGCATTAGTTCATTAATATTTTATCTTTAGGTTGTTTCATTTTTTTCCCTATTATGAAGATTGCAGCATACACCCTTATCTCAAAATGCAGTGTTGATTATTTGTGAATGACATATTTCTAAAACTTACATATTTCTAGGCTTTTAAAACATTTTTCAAAACTCCTCCAGAAAGACTACACCAATTTACACGGATTTCAGCCATGTGTGAGAATGTTTGTTTTCCCTAAATTAAGAAAAAAAAAAAAATCACTAGGTGCGATGTTTCCTGATCTCATAATTTAATATGGGCACGAAGGGATTGTTCCTAGTTTGCACTGTAAATTAACGGCGAGGCGGAACCTTTCCACGTGCTCATCGGCCGCTTCAAGCTGGTCTTTCCTGATTTACCTGCTGCTTGCTTTGTTATTATTAGTGTATTTTCTCTTATTTTCTGCTCTTTCTCTTTTATAAAGTATTTTAACCTCTCATCTGTTTTGTGTATTACAAATCTTTTCACCAGCTTGTCATTTGCTTTTAATTTTTTTCTTGTAGTATAATTTGATGCCCCAATTTTTTCACTTCTCAGTGGACTCCAATAAGAAGCCTATGATAAGGAGGTTTCTTCTTTTCACTTTTTTAGCTGAATTTAACAGGACTGACTCTCCAGACCAAAGAACACTTAAAACACCATTTGCTGTCCCGTCAACGACAATTCACAGCCATCTATTTCAGAGTAGAACTGTGCTCCATGGGATTGGCAATGGCTGATTTTTCAGAAAATCTCCAGGCCTTTCTTCCAAGGCGCTTCTACTTTCTAATTCTAAATGAAGTATTCCTCCAAAGTCTCCATAAGTAGATTCCATTTCTTTTGTCATCTTCAATCCCTTATTCCCAACTTGAACTTCTAAAGATCTTTAAAAAGCTAAAATTTATTCTAAGTTTGCAGCAAACTAACTTGCTGCTCTTTATAGACTATTTATGCCACTTAAGGGTATGAATATTCAAATGTTTGATGCAGAATCACTGATAGGTCTCATTAAAGAGTTTTGCCTCCAACCCTAATGGAGGAGGGTGTATATGGCCTTAGGAGTTTTGGATAAAGGATTGTGGATTTATATGAATTTGAAGGTTTTACCTTTATGCCATTATTTTTGGAGAATTTCCTAGCATCTCGGAGTTGCATTTTCTACTAGAATCTAATCTGATCTAAAATATTTTGCAAGCTCTCTAATTAAATCCTACTGATCCTAAAATGAAGAACACCGGACCAAAAGACAGAACAA